GGGGGTGGGGCGGGGGTGGGGTGGGGGGATTCTTGGACTGCCCACCTGGGCCCGGAACGGAGTGGGAGGGCTTGGAGCAGCTTCCCCCACTGTCTCCCGCTCCCAGGAGGAGCAGCATCGATCCCACGAGAGCTGCCTGGATGCTGCCTCCGACGACCTGCTGGATCTGCAGAGAAACTTACCGGAGCGGCGGGGCCGCAGCCGAGAGCTGGAGGACTACCGCTTGCGGAAGGAGTACCTGGAGTACGAGGTGAGGTGCCCGTGCCTCACCTTCCGCCTGGACCCTCTGCTGCCCTCTCGTGGCCGTGGCTGTCCCTGCAGCCTTGGCTCAGGGCAGGGGGAGGTGCTCCTGTGAGAACACGGGGTGCTGTGTGCGTTGTCTGCACACGAGTGTGTGCACACGCGCGCGCAAATTGTGTGTGTCCGTGTGCACTCGGGCCACTTCCCCTCTTGTCCCGGGGGCACATAGCAGCTGCTTGTCTGGAAACACTCTTAGGGAATGTTACTTTCATACGTGTTTTTTCTCCCAAGAGTATATTTGCCTTTTCCTACACTGAAGGGAAATCTATATTTTAACAGAATTATTTCTCCTAATACCTACCTAATAATAATAATGGGCAGTATTTCTGAGGCTTGCATTGCATGGATTATCTTATTATCTAACTACTCTGGGGGTAGGGGCGGTAATCCTCATTTTACAGATGAGGAAACTGAGGCACAGAGAGATTAAGCGACTTGTCCAAACCTGATACATTTTCAAGAGACTCCAGTTACATCCGTGCCTCGTGTATGGTCGTAACTAAGGAATGACCTTTATTAGCTCTGTGATCGATGCTGAAATATTTTTTCCCACCCAGCACCCACCCTGCACCCAAATTCAGGAGGAGGGTAGGCGAGGGGCAGTGTGGGAACAGAAGGGGTCAGAGGCCACCCAGGGGCAGAGAGGGGAGAAGGGAGCGTCAGTGTCACCTCCTGGCTGTGCCCACCGGCCCTCGCGCTGCCCTCTCCCTTTCTTTCTGGCTTATCCCTTTGGCACGCTGGCTGCATCCATCGCTGTGAACACACCACTTCCCAGAGGACCTGGCGTGTGGCCGATAGGACCCAGCTCTGCACGCAGCATTCTAGCCTCTCCCTACCACTTTCTGACCAGCTGGGACCTTTAGCAAGGCCCACCCCTCCCTAGGCCTCACTTCCCTCTTTACAAAGCAGAGCAGTGACTCCCACCCGACCTCCCAGGGCTGGGATGGGGATCCAGCGGGCTGGAGGGTGGGAAAGCACTAGGTAAACTGGGAACTGTATCCGAAGGATGCTAGTTACAGGGGCCCAAGGAGTGTTAAACAGATGAGGGTAGTTAGCGTCATACTCTCCAGATGCCAATTGTTAAAACGCCACGCAGACTCAATTAGGGTTGAGTACAGACGTGCGCTGTTTGTGTGCAGTGCCGCACAGATCTCGGGCCTAGTGGGTTACGGATCTTTTAGTGTCTCAGTGATGTAACGTGCTCCAGAGATGTCAGTTACAGCACTACACGGTGTTGGCTGTTAGCCCAGGGCTGGACTTACAGGCGTAACTATAAAACACCCAGGGAACGGCAGGGTCTGCAGATACGGTGGTTGCTCAAGCAGATGCTAGCCTTTGGCCCAGCGCTCTTTCTGCAGGAGTCTTTATCGCCATAGCATCATTCACATGTGAGCTGTCTGTCCCTCACGATCCCAGCCCCCTCCCGACCCGGAGCCAGGGTGGTGCTAAGGTGGCGGGGCCCGTGTGTTGCAGAAAACCCGTTACGAGACCTACCTGCAGCTGCTGGTGGCCCGTCTGCACTGCCCGTCGGATGACCTGGACCTGTGGGAGGAACAGCTGGGGAAGGAGGCCGCAGACCCGCAGGAGTCCAAGCCCAGCCTGAAGAAGTCCCACTCCAGCCCGTCCCTGCACCTGGATGAGGCCCCCACCACGGCCAAGGTCAAGCGCAACATCTCAGAGCGCAGAACCTACCGGAAGATTATCCCCAAGCGGAACCGCAATCCGCTGTGAAGCGGGTGCCCCCTCACCGACTCTGCCCTCACAGCCTGGGGTGGATGTGGGATGAAGCCCTGGGGAAGAGCCTTGTCTCAGCGGGAGCATGATGGTGATGAGGCCCCGCCCCTCCCCCCGCTGAAGGATAGCCTTGCTTCCCTGTGGTCCCTCGTAGACAGGAGTTTTCCCAATACTGCTGCCCCACCCCCACCCCCGCCGGCTGCTCCCGAGGGTGATGGGAGGTCAGGAATTTGGCTCCGCTCCCACAGCTCATCCCATGGCACCCTCCATCCCTTCAGAAGCCACAGCGGACACCTTTCCCAGGCCTGCGGGCAGCTCAGTGCTTATTTGAGAGTCAGAGTACTCGGGGAGCCCCGGCCTCCGGGACAGAGGCTGGGGCAGCAGAGCCCTCTGGGCAGACAAGCTAGGGGAGCCGCAGCCCTGAGGGTGGTCTTGTTCTGGGAATCGGGTGGCCTGCTGGGAGAGGTCCTGGGAGACCCCAACCAGGCCCCGCCCACTGGGGGGACAGCCTTCTGGGTAGGGGCAGGGATGCGGCGAGTTCAGGGGCTCAGTGAGGCTGACCCTGGGGCCCCTGCCTTTGTCTCCTCTCCCGCACATCACCCACTCGCAGTGGGCAAACGAGAGAGGCCCTGCCTTCCACGGCCAATTGCTGATCATCAGAGCAGAGCCGGTGGCGGTCAGTGAGGGCCGGAAGGGGTGGCGGCCTCCAGAGCTCAGTGGAGAGCCCTGGAACGAGGGGCCTTTGCCTCCTCAGAGCAGGGAAGGAGTTCTCTCTGGGTTCAGACCCCAGGGAGGCTGAGGGTAAGAGGTGGTGACGCATCCGCATCCGCTGGGGGCTCTGGAGATTTGGGGGGTGGGGTGGGCGGAGGCCTGGCTCCCTTCCCTGAAAGCTCCATGCCCGAGGGGCTCCAGGACCCTCCCGGACCCCTCCCCTGGCCCAGCCTGCTCCCAGGGGCCTTTGCCACCCTGCCTGGGAAGTCCCCTTGTGCTCCATCGGGCCGGCTCCCAGCTGGGCTGTTCTCTGGGGGAGGTTCCGGGCACTCGCGGACCTGAGGCTCTGCCTGTGGGAAGGAGGCTGGGCTGCAGGGGCAGCCACCATTGTCTCTGTTCAGCCAAGTGTGCGAGCAGGCGGCCCGCCAAGAGGGGCCTCTCCACTGCCCGCCTGCTGGCTGACGCACGGCCCCTCCGGCCTTCCTGCCGGCCCTGTCCTCCCCTTCATGCTTGTAAGCAGCCTGGAACTCCACCAGGAGTGGTGGGGCTGGCACTTGGGGGCCACGACGGGTGTCTGGCCAGGGCCCAGGGCCGGGCCACACACCCAAAGCGTGCACAATAAATGCCAACAAAGAAGGAGGTGTGTACGAGTGTAGGGGGAGGGGAGGGTCAGCCAGTTCCGGGCAGCTGGGGCCACCTGCAGGGTGGCAGGCCGCATCCCCCTTGCCATGTGTGCGTGCATGTCTGTGTGCGTGTGCATGTCTGTGGGCGCGTATGTAGCACACTGAGCAGGTGCAGAAGTCACATATGTAGGCTGTCACAGCTGGAGGGGACCTCAGAATCATTTAGTTATCCACTCATGTGTTCATTCTTTGATTTCACAAGTAATATTAACTACCTTTTATGGGCCAGTACTCTGGGATTCAAACATGGATTAAGCGCATCCCTGGCCTCCAGGAGATGACTATCCTGCTCTCTGGCTTCCAGTTGGCAGTGCAGAGACACGCTGGACACATTCCCATCCTACACCCAGGGATTCAGATACAGTAGATCTGGGTCAGGGACACCAATAGGTATTTTTAAGACTCCCTGGGCAACTCTGATGTGCAGTGGCAGTTAACAGCCACGGCACAGTCCGGTCGTCTCATTTGATTGAGGTGGGAGCCTAGCGCCAGGTGGACGTGACTTGGCCCAGGAGTGATGCTTACAGGCTGAATGGCCCTGAGTGGGTTACGTGACCTCACTGACCTGTACGCTTATTTCCAAAACCCGAATAAAAGGCAGAGGTTGGTTTGCAGGTGTGCATGTGTGTCACATTTCCGTGCTTCTCTGCTCTTGTAGAACTGGCATCTCCCTTTCCCCCCGGCCATGTGAGGCCTTCAGAGCCAGGTGACCGTGGCTGCCGGGTCCCCCTCTGGCCAGTGCTGTCCTGGCCCCCGTTGGCCTGGAGGCCTGGGGAGGTGGAGGTGCGTTGTTGGGCTGTGGTTATGATATGTGACCACCAGGGGGCGGGCTTGCACCTTCCAAGCCTGGGCGGCCCAGTTGTCCAGCCACAGCTGTGCTCCTGGAAGAACAGGAAGTTAGGGCGCCCCCCAAAGGCCTTCCCCCCTGCCCCGCCCCCTCACCAAAACCAGGCCCTTCCACTTCCCCAAACCCACAGTGGCCCAGCCAGGCCTCCCACCATCTGGGGAGATCTGATCCAAGCAAAGGGTTGGGACTTTGACATCTTCCTGCAGATGGAGAGGACGAAGTTTCTGGAACCTTATGGGGACAGCCTAGAACTCCCTACGGAACTGTCCCAAGGAACCTACAAAAATGGAAGCCAGGGCTTCCCTGGTGGCGCAGTGGTTGAGAGTCCGCCTGCCGATGCAGGGGACGCGGGTTCGTGCCCTGGTCCGGGAAGATCCCACATGCCGCGGAGCGGCTGGGCCCGTGAGCCATGGCCGCTGGGCCTGCGTGTCCGGAGCCTGTGCTCCGCAACGGGAGAGGCCACGACAGTGAGAGGCCCGCGTACCGCAAAAACAAAAGAAAACAAAACAAAAATGGAAACCAAATGAGCACCCAGGCCCAGTCCTGGGTTTGGAACGGATCAAACCCCACGGGCCTAGACTCACCTCGTGTCCATCCTACTCTTCTTTCCTACTCAGCACTGGGTTGGTCCATATCTTTGCAGGAGAAGGGGATGGGCACAGGTTCCTGGTGAACAGCTCAGACTCCATAAGGCTGGTTGAAGTTTGCCCTCGGCTCCTCCTTTCCCACCTAGGGAGCTCAGCTAACCAGGAGATACCCCAGATGTAACCTCTTCCTGGTCTCTCAGCATCTCTGCTCCATCTGGCTTTCTGCTGAAGACATTCATTTGTTTGTTGTTTGCCAGGCACCAGGGAGGAGTTAAGATCACTCCCCCGAGGCCTGGGTCCTTTCCTCTGGGGGCTCCGAGTCAGATGGAAACAAGTGGGGCGTGTCCTGCTCGGCAGGAGCTGGGCTGGAGGGTTGAGGTGGGATAGAGTGAGAGACACACGGTGGTCAGGGTGGGCCGAAGCTGGATCGTAAAGGACCTGGTGTGCAGCCCAGGAGGGTGGGTTTCGAGCAGAAGAGTGACAGGCTCATGGCTTGGGAGATAGTCTGGGAGTTTGGCTTTAAGAAGATGGAATGACTTGAGTAAGTGAGCCTAGAATAGGGTAGATTATGGCCTGGAGATGTTTTATACTATGCATGCAAATTTTCTGTAAGTCTAAAATTAAAAGGCGGGGGGGAAGAGCATGCCCTGGAACCTTGGGACAACCTGGCCATCCACATCTGGCCACATCCCTCTCTCCCTTCCCCCGACCCCCCAACTTGCTTGCTGCCCGTACTCAGGGGGTGTCCTGAATGCCACACTCTGCGTAAGGGCCCCTTCCCACTGCCCCCTCTGCCAACACCATTGCCTCCAGCTATCCTGCATCTAACTGGCCCCCATCTCTACCTGTTCCCTACCTTCTGAGGAAGCGATGCTCCGTGCATTCCTGGAACTGACCCTCCCCCTCCCTCGTGCCCACACCCCTCCCGCTCCCCATGTCCTGCCTACCCTGACCTCGCCCTCAGGGGTCCCATCTGGGTTTTCGGCCTATCCTCTACCCCTTCATTAAACAGCTTGAAGTATCGCCATCATGAGGAAAAAGAATAGCCTGCACTTGACCGTCTGCTGCCTGTCGCCGAGATCCACGGACATGTGGTCTTTGCCAGCCATTTCCCTCCCTCCCCTGGTCCCGTTCACACCTGGCACGTTGGCCTCCAGCCACTGCTCCCCACTTACGACCCTCAATCATCAAATCCAAAGTCTTCCCAGCTTCCTCACCTCTCAGCGACCTTTGGCCCCCATGTGCCCCCTGATCTGTGGAACCTGCACGAGGGCCCAGTGTGATCTGGCCAGTTTGTTAGCTTCTTGTGCTTCCGTTTGCTTCTCTATAAAATGGGGATAATAGCACTACTTACCTCACAGAGTCCTCGTGAAGATTAAGTGAAATTATGCACGTAAACAGCTCAGAACAATGCCTGGCACAGAAGGAAAGCCTGTTAGCTATTAGTACCGGCCTCGCTGGCCTTCCTCAGGCACCCTCCCGCCTCTGGACTCCGGTTCACATTCTGCCCTCAAACGTGGGGTCCTGCTCTGAGGCTGGGCCTCTGCACTCAGCTCTCCCTCTGCCTGGACTTTGCAAGTGACAGATGTAAACTCACATGGGCTTAGCAGAATAGGACACTGTTCGGCTCCGGTAACTGGACGGTCTGTGTCCAGGTCGGGCTCCACACTGAGCCACAGGAACTTGTTTCTCTCTTATTCTTCTCCCAGGCCTAGGAGGGCAGGGGCAACCCTCACGGTACCGAGGTGGCCCCAAGAGCTCCAGACTCCCTCTTCTTGGTACAAATCTAGCGCTCAGAGAATATCTGCTCGTTGGAAATTTCAAACTCAAGTCCAGGGTAGGGTCTCTTTTTTTTTTTTTTTTTTTTTTTGCGGTACGCGGGCCTCTCACTGCTGGGGCCCCTCCCGTTGCGGAGCACAGGCTCCGGACGCGCAGGCTCAGCGGCCGTGGCCCACGGGCCCAGCCGCTCCGCGGCATGTGGGATCCTCCCGGACCGGGGCACGAACCCGCGTCCCCTGCATCTGCAGGCGGACTCTCAACCACTGCGCCACCAGGGAAGCCCCAGGGTAGGGTCTCTTTGAGCAGCATACCTTGGGCCATGTGCCCACCTCTGAGCCAATCACTAGGGGCCTAAGGTAATCAGAGGCCTCCTTCCGAGATGGGGGTGGG